ATGGAGTCCTTCGCCAACGTCGAGCTCGAGGACTACTTCAACGAAGTCCGAACCATCAGTCGCAGGACGTCGCAGTCTAATTCGCAGTCCGAGGAGGAAGTCCGGAGCCACGAAGGTGAGTACTTGCTGCAGGATTCAGCTTTGCAGGATCGGCTTGGCTCGTTGTTGCAGAGAGCGGAAGTGGGGGAGGGTCGAGTGTGAGAATGTGGCCGCGGGGGAGAGTGGTTGTTGTAAAGGCGAAGTTCGTGTGGAGAACGTGGTTTTGTTCCGAGTGTGAAGTGAGTGGTTTTGTATTAAGAAAGTGGTTTTGTTCCGAGTGTGAAGTGAGTAGTTTTGTTGTGAGTGTGATATAAGTAGGTTTTAAGTGTGGAGAAAGGGTTTTTATTTTGAGTAAAGACTTTTTTAAGCGCGATAAATATTTTGTTTTGAGTGTGAAGAAAGTGTTTTAAGTGTGAAAGGGGGATTTGTTCTACATATGACGAAAGTGATTTAAGTGTGAAAGGTCGTTTTGGCTTAATGTGAAGAAAGTTATTTTGATTTAAATGTGGATGAAGTTATGTTTTAAATATGAAGAGAGTGTTTTGGACTTGAGTACTATGAGGTTCTATGTGAAGAGAGTGCTCGTTTGTAAGTATGTGGAATGCAATTTTTAATGTCAAAAAGTCAAATTTATCACGGAGAAAAGTTTGAAAGTGTGTTCGTGAAATTTCAACGTGATTGTTCCTTTATAAATACACAAGTATGAGTAATATGATAACTAATCGTATCAATAGTATTAGAATTGCATAAGTATCACCTTAGCACGAAGAAAACATAATCATGGAAGTAGAAAAAATAATATTGATTTATGAAAAAGACGAGTGAATTAAAGCCAGAAGTTAAAAAATCTCTCTCTCTCTCTCTCTCTCTCTCTCTCTCTCTCTCTCTCTCTCTCTCTCTCTATATATATATATATATATATATATATATATATATATATATATATATATATATATATATATATATACGTCCTCAAGGCTTCATATTTTAGATTGAAAATGAAAACACTGATAGATGTTCCAGCAAGTGACAATCGATCGCAATGTGTGTTCTTATCACCCCTTCCTTCCCTTATCTCCGGATGTGATAAATGACGAAATTTTACGAAATATTCGGTCGATCTTCGATGAATTACGAAAATCTCTTACGCTTTTATATGCGGTTTGTCCTGAATGATGCGATGTGCTTCCGTGGTAATTAGATTTTTTTTTATTATATATATTTTTTATTTATCTATCTATTTATTTATCTATTTATTTATTTATTTATTTATTTTGTATCCTTAGAGATTCTTTTTTTTTTGTATATTAGGTTATTCTGTGGTGAGAATCTGGAATATAGATATTTTCTTTATGTAGGATTTTTATTTTGAGAAATACGAATAATGGTGAATAATAAGAATAATAAGAATATGAATAAAAATGAGAATAAGAATAAGAAATAATTGTGAAATGAATTGTAGAAGAAGATAAAAAGAAACCGGGAAGAGATTAGCAGTGATGAGGATATTAATGATAATATTGATAATGATAATGGTATCGGTAATAATACTGATATTGAATTGATAACGATACTAATGAAAATACTAATTCTGGTAATAAAATACGACGAAACATTAATAGTTCTCCTTTAAAAAAAAATGTAAGATAATAATAACACCTGAGAACAAACATGGAAGCAACAACAAAAATCATAATCAATAATAACAACAATAACGATATGATAAAACCAGAGAAGGGAATTATACGCCCCCCCCCCCCTACAAAGAAATAACAAGAACAACAGCGAGAGCAACGATTATGTCATTGCAAATCATTGCGAGAACAACTACAATGATATTTCATGAAATCCCGATTGCCGAAAAGTAATAAATATAAAAAATAATCTCCCCTCTCCCCTCCCTCCCCTCCCCCCCTCTCCCCTCCCTTCCCGTCCCATTCCCACCCCTCCCCTCCCCTCCCCTCCCGCCCCTCCCCTGCCCTCCCCTCCCATTCACACCCCTCTCCCCTCCCCTCCCCTTCCCTCTTCTCCTCCCCTCCCTTCTCCCCTCCTCTCCCTCCCCTCCCTCCCCTCCTCCCTCCCTCCCCTCTCCCCTCCCCTCCCATTCCCACCCCTCTCCCCTCTTCTCCCCTCTCCCTTCCCTTCCCTCTTCTCCCGTTTCCCAATCTAAAAGACAAAAAAAAATAATAATAATAGATAAATAAATAAATAAACCTAAATAAATAAATAACCTAAACCTCCTCCTCCTCCTTCTTCTTCCGCAGATGACGGCGAATCCGACGAGCACTTCCTGGAGGAGCTCGGCATCCCCGTCAAGCAGGACTCGGAGCTCTCGGAGGACAACATCACCTACAACAAGTTCATGGGCACGCTCAACCCCCGCCAGGTGAGGAGGGGGGTGGGTGGAGAGGGAAGGGGAGGGAGAGGGATGGGGAGGGGTGGGTGGATGGGATGGGAAGGA